AGAGAGAGAGAGAGAGAAAGAGAGACCTATATCAACAACCTGGAGGCGTATACATCTGCATTCTTTAAATGTCTACACATGTATTAGTACAGACATGAATGAATATATCAATACGAGGGAAAATTAATGACCGGAGCAGCTCGTTTCTCGGGTGTTTTGTCCTTTCCCGCTGAATCATTACCCATCGAAACAGCTACCACGCGACTTATGCATGTAGTTAGTATGTTTCCATTAACTTTTTTTTTGGTTTTATATAAGAGGTCGGTTTTCCATTTCTCAATCGCTTGATGGCACTTTTTTTTTTTTTTTACCTCGCTATTTTTTTTCCTAAAATTTTCTGTGCTCTTTGCACTTTGTACGTTGCATTTATCTTTTTATCAAGGCAGTGGGAAGGAGACACGTGTAAAAACGTTTGGCTGAATTGTCTATCCAATGAGCAAGCGGGGCAGGGATGGGGGTGGGGTGGGTATTTGTAGATGTGCTTCTCATCTCCAGTTTTTACGTTTCAATTTCATGACCTTTAGATAGAGCAGTTATTGCCATAGCGCCTTTGGTCTTGCGTATATTTCTTAAGTATTTTGTGTATTTGTAATGGAAAACCCCGTGGTGCAAATTTGTTGGCATAGAATACTTTGTACTCTGGATTCTTTTAAACATCCTGTTTTGCAGAGGTTGAAAGGTAACTTGAAAGAAAAGTATGCTTTTAAAAAATTACAAATACCGTACGATTCCTCTAAATAATGTTTTGGTGTAATGAGTAATGGTGACGCTTTTTGCATGTGCGCACACCTGAGTTCGATTCCTGCGTTATGGAAAGGTTTGTGGGTTGTTGGCGGGTGCTCTGGTTTGCTTCTTTTTTCCTATCAAACATCTATCATCTTTATCTCCCCTCCTTCTTTTTTTGTGTTTGTTACTCTTTTGTAACACCTCTAGTCTTCGGCACTTACATGGACCTTATTGTGTTCCAAGTGCCGTAAAACTCTTACTAAAACTGGAAAACTTTTCACCTGGTACTTCTGTCTTTCATCTGGGAAGCTGTATTCCACTTGGTGTTTGAAGGGCGTCACTTCAAATGGTAGCTCGTGCTTCTTTTCTTTCCGTCTGTCTCCCTTACTTTTTCCTCGGACTAAATTACCTTTGTTGTGTCGGTATGTACCTCTGTACCCACTGGCAGATAACCAGGACGTAAGACATGAGCAATCAATCCCTTTTGTGAATCTCTTGCGCAATATCGAGTCTCTCATGTGCAGTTGCTGTCTTAAGAGATTCTTCCTATGTCTCCTTCTCCCCCGCCTCCTTCTCCCCCGCCTCCT